TATATATATATATATATATATATATATAAGAGAACTTTGTAAAGAAGATTCCCAAAAAGCAATAAAGGCTAGAGTATAAAATTGAATGTGAAATATATTTACAGTAAGACTGTTAGTGATTTCTTCGAATCATTTCGTGTCAAGAATCTCTTCGTGGTTGTTTTTGCACTTAACAATTGCGTTTGAGCCCCACCCGCTCCGCGCGCGCGTTTCGCCACCCAGCCCGTTCCGCGCGCGCCGCGTTGATGCACTGCTGATTGCCAGGAGGTGGATTTTGAGCACTTCAGACATCTCCAAAAAATTATCATTAAAATGCTCGTATTATTTTGTGAAAATTCCCCTAAAGAAAAGATAAATGACAAAAACAAAATTGATCAAAACCGGTTCAGATGAACATCTCAAGCGGTTGGATATATTACAGATGTTATTAGAGCTTATTCCTTTCGTTCAAGTGAGCTTAGCTGGCAAACTTTTGATTTGGACTATTCCCTATCAGAAATGATATGTCTTTGGTTATCATTAAATTGGCCGAACTGACAAAGACGCCTATAGGCGTCATATTCGTTACTCCCATCTGCTTACATTACAATATATGGTTGAAAACATTAAATAGGCTACTCAGGAATTCTGTAAAGAACATTTGTTGCATCTTGCAAATATTATTTAAAGAAAGTATCATTAAAATGATATTAAAATCAATGGAATGAGCGAACAATGCTTTAGAAATGCCGGGCAAAGGTAAAAATTGACAATTGTCGAAATCGATGAAAAATACAAGCAAACAATGACAAAAATGGGCATTTTCCTTTTGTCATAACATAAAAATAATGTCTATACTAATAATAATTGTTCAAAAATGAAAAGAAAAAATGACATTTCATTAAAATCCACCCCCTACTGATTACATTAAACAAAATTTTCTTTAACACATATTTGACATTTTATTTAATTTCATATTTGTTGCGATGGCTGTTGACATATCAAATATTGTTAAATTGAAGAAGGGTTTAAAAAAATCAAGAGGATCGAAGAAACTGTTATTTTAACATTCAAGTTAACTTTTTCTAACATATATGTGTAACTTTTAAACATATAAATTCTACCATAAGTTATGTTTAAGTGTTGTTCTGATGCATTGTCAAAACCTCTTTTTTACTATTCATCTTCTAAAGCTATGAAAAGGTAAAATTTATTTTGACAAAATATTAGGGAAATAAATAAAAAATATCGTTTCAATTGAATGTTGAGAGTTTTAGACTTCAATCCACTTCGTTAATTTTATCTCTTCTTTAATTTGGAGGTATCATTTTGAATCACGTCCCCCTATGTTTTCTTGGATGCTCAAAAGTATTCGTGTAAAATTTGTGAGCAATCGCTCCCAAATTTTGTGGTTCAAAAGTATTTTCAAGAACATACTCACATGCATGCGCTTTTATATAATATAAGGTTGATATTTTTGTCCTGTTAAAGCTATTTCTGTCTTCTTTCAAACTCCTGTTGTTCTCGTCTTACCGTATTTGTGTCGATGTGTCCCTTGCATCACATTGTCTCTGTTTTTGTCTCTTTTCCCTCTGTTCTTTATATATTTTTTCCTTCTTCCACATTTGTTTTCAATATTCTAGGGTTTCTATCAATCAATTGAAACTACTTTTTCGAGTCGTAATGCAGTAAGAAACAACTCAACGTTATAGTAAACCACTTGAACTCTTTTAATAGAGTTATTTCTTTCCATAGTGATATGTTTATGTGCATTATGTCATTAATAACATTGCCCCGGTTCTGACGGTTCATAGGGAAGCTATTTTCATTAGTAGATCATTGCAGAATTCACTATTAATCTTGATTGTACGCAAATAAGGATGAGTAATGGAGCCTGTGGAGAACTGTGGTTCTGTCTTCCCGACCCCATTAGTAAATTATTTCACAAACGCTTTCTCTCCAATTAATTATACGCTTTGCAACACAATTCGAAGAAAACGGCCTAGTAAACATTGCAGATACGAGGACCTCGAAATGTGAAGATGCTCGAATACACCAATACTTATGTGTATAATCGATACAGTGTATGCATCGGTGTGTATCAGTGTGTACTATTAAATATAATGCGATTTCTCTACAATCTCTCTATAATTTCTTACAAACGAGTCTACATAAGGAATCGTTTAGATTTAGATTTAGATGTTTTTTTCAGCCAAAAAGCAGTAAACACTGTATGTGACCAGGGGGGGGGGGGAATATTTATCTGCGCACGTTTTCTTGATTTCAGAATCCCTTCCCGTCATTTTAACTATAAATAGTTGAAAGATGAGTAAAAGTTTAACATAAATAAATAAAAAGAAATTTAAAATCGCAAGATTAGCAATATTTGAAAATAGTCATTTTTCGTTCCTGAGTTATAAAAACATTATTTACATCGGTACACGTATTGCAAGTTTGATTTTTCTGCAGTGGTAACAAAATAGCAACTCGCCCTTAACTCTACTCTTATCATTGCATGTAAAAGGAAAGTTCAACAAAACGTGCGCGTAGTGAAGCTACAATTACGTCGAGAAGCAAAACAAGGATCCAACTCAGCATTTGTTCAATGGATCAGGGAAACTGAACAAAAATCTGATCATTCAATTCTAAAAATTATTCGTACTACAAACATTAGAAAACTGTTTTCAAAACACAGATACTTTAGCTAAAATATAGAATTCCATAAAATTACATTACATGGTTTCAGCAATTGGGCAACATCTTGTTTATATTGAAGGGGGAAATTGAGAAAAATGGTCTAAACATTTGTTTACGTAATACTGAAGAATATGCGTACGATTCTTTCTTGTGGTATACTTACGAGGAGTAAAAACGGAGCACAAGGTCAAAAACGTTGTGGAGTTAAAAATGGGAATGTCATCGTTTTATATGATCGTACCCTACCATTGAGGCCACCTGTGAAAAAAATTGGATCCATGCCTAGTGTTCTTGGACGCTGTCACAGGAAACAGTTCTTTTAGAGCAGTATTATTCTTACGTTTATTGGCACGTCGTGTTTGAGGACCAACATTGGCAATACGAACAAATGGTGTTACAACGGCTTTCATTCCTATGTTACGTGTACCAATTGTCGTGTACGAAAGAAAATGTGCTCACGATAATCAGCTATTTTATTGTAGTATTATTCTTTCATTTATTCGCATATCAAGGTCCAAACATTAGCAGTGTTATTAATAAAAGAAGTTCTTTCTTTCGTAAATTCTATTGGTTTAATTGTTGTGTATTAAGCAAAAGCGTAGTTTAAATGTAAAATAAAAAATCATTTGCAGAGTCAATAGAATATTAGGTTATTTCTTTGTAACAGGTTATTTAATAAATTTCTTGAGACGTACCAAAATTATTGAAAGGTATATTTTTCATATTTTCCAAGCCACAGACAGCTATTATTTTTAAGTTCAAAATCCTCACTATAATAATTGTCTAAGCAAAAAACACAAATGAGATTTAAAACACTGGAAATATTCATTGAAAAATTGTTGGAATATACACAAATTGAAATGTACTCATTCTCGCTCTCATAAGTACAATTGGAGCTCTTTCATATCAATAGCCGCCCAACGACCTACAGTTGAACTTGGAATAAGAAAATGAAACAAAAGATAAAGCGATTGTTGACTTCGTTCCGGCATTCCCCTGGTCAGAGGAAACCATTAAATCGACTGATTAGTGTTTTCTCTGCAATTTTTCTTCAGAAAGCTGCTCTGTACCTTATACTTCACCACCGCTGAGTCGCCAATGAAAATTTCAGGCATTGAAGCATGAAATATATTGGCGTGAAATCGCATAGGTTGTCATGCTAGGTCTTCTTCGCCTTGCCGTTGTCTTAACCACTACTTCGGTCTTCCAGAACTTAATATTCTTCTAGAGTCTTCCCTGTTCTTCCAGGAACCAGGAGGTAATTTCCACCTCTCGATATTCTTAGTCTGCCTCGTTTTCTCCTTTCACTTGGTTGCAATTCTAACGATCTTCTGGGGAGTATTCTATCGACCACTCTCTGTTCATGTCCAAACCAAGTGAGTTGTTTCTTTTCAATTTCTTCATATTGCAGATTCATTATTTCCTTAACATGTTCATTCCTAATTCTTTCCCTTCTAGATATTGCTGCAGCTCTTCTAAGGAAATCCATTTCCAAAGCTCTCAATTTTATTTTCTGTTGTTCTGGAAGCTGCCATATTTCTGCTCCACACAATGTAACACTTTCAATCATACTTTTATATATTCTAGTTTTCGTTTCCTTGCTTATATTTGGATCCCAGATAACTGCATTCAGAGCTCCTAAAATTTTTCTTCGTTTAATGAATCGGGTTTCACATTCCTTTCCATAAAAACCCTGTTTTCCTTTTGCTGTTCCCTAGCACTCTGTTGTTCTTTTAATTTCTCCAGTTTCCATAGTCAATACGTCATGTATACTGCCTAGAGTCCAGCATACTGTTTTCTTTCTACTCATAATCTTCTTTTATCTTCCTAGTCATATATTCAATATCTTATTGTTCTTGCGCCATCAGCACCTGATCATCAGCGAACTGTAGGGTATAGAGTGTTGTATTACCATCAAGTGGTATTCCCATCCCAGCACATTTTCTTTTCCATGCCTGTAACACCACATTAACATACATTTTAAAGAGGGTATGTGACAAACAGCATCCTTGCCGTAGTCCTTTTGATATAAGAAATGTTTGGTTCATCTGATTTACAACTTTCACTTTTCCCTTTTAATCTATATACAATTTCTTCACTGCACTTATTAAGATTTTATTTACATTACTTTTATTCATAACTTTCCATACCTTTATCATTGGCACACTATCATACGCCTTTGCTATATCAAGGAACACCATGTGAAGTTCTCTCCCCGTTTGCCATTTCTTTTGCATCACCTGGGGCAGACAAAACAGGTTATGTAAGCAAGATCCACCCGCCCTAAAACCACTTTGTTGTTGTTGTTGTTGTTGTTGTTCTTCTTCTTCTTCTTCTTCTTCTTCTTCTTCTTCTTCTT